GACTCTGGCATCAAAAGTCAAACCCCACAGTTAGGACAGGTGAAGCACAAATGATATCTACAGCAAGGGTTGCCAGAATCCAAAAGGGAACTGTAATTCTGTATACAAGCAACACACTTTTTAAGAAGGACACTGCAAAGAGACTTTTATCATGTATTATGTCAAGTATTTGTTTTCATCTGTATGATATAAGACCTTTAAAGCCTGTGAGAGATTCATTGCTTGACTAGATTTTGGCTACAATCAGCCTCAGTTTTATTGGACTTCAGCAAAATGTTTGTTTACCAACAGCAACATGTTCACAAGAAATAAATGTTCTTTGTTTTTCTTGCCTAGACTACATCTCCCTTTCCAAGTAATTGCATCTGACCACAGTGCTTCAGAAAACAGGAATATTTTTCAGAAAATACACTGTGACTAATCAAACAGTCTGCATTTGAATCTATCCAGTCCGTTCAGCCACATCTGTTCATTTAATTTCACCCCACTTCAGTGATTTGACAGGAGCTTAAAATTCTTTCACAATTTTTCAAGTCATTTCTTTAAAAAGAAGAGAAAACATGCCCCTGTATACAACATTTTATGTAGGCCCATTCATTTTCTTATTGACCAGATTCACATATAGATTTTCTTTCACACTAATATTGCATAGCCATGTAGGCTGTGCTAGTAAGACAATGGCCCCTTCATTTCTGTCACAGAAAAGAAAACTGTGTACAAGTAGGGTATCCATCTCAGCTGGGTGCACAAATAACAACGAGGCAATGCTGCTATTTTTCTTTGTTCTTTAAGAAATGTTAGCAAATTCCTGTCTGTATCCATGAACACTCCAGCAGCCAATAGCAGACATAAAGAGCTGGGCCTGTATAGCTGGCTCAAGGGCATCTTTGCTTCTAGAAGAGACAACATCTGGCACTAGCTGCCTGAGGGGGGTGATACTCAAAACTAAGGTTAACCCTCTTTGAACTAGAAACACCCATAGTGAGACAGCTCAAAGGGCAGCAGAGATGAGGGGTCATTCATTAAGAAGTGATGCATTATGTGTTGGGGGCAACTAGGTGCTGCAATAACACAACTACCCTGGAGGGACTAGATAAGGTCACAATAAACTGGGCCTGGCATCCAAGGGTGATAATTAACTGGGCCTAGCATCCAGGAGAGGAGATATGGGTGGGATGAACTGAGCCTTGCATCAGGGGGCACAGCAATGAGTCACCCATTTGCAATGTGAACCTAGAATCTATATAAGAGGCCCTTTTCCCCTATAGCACTGGCAGTAGCTATGGACCCCACTCTAGGGGCTCTGTCTCAGCTGCTGCCCGGGAGCAATAAACTTTACTTGCTCAGCCTTTCTGTCTGTCTTCCTTTCGGTCAGTCACAAAAGTCAGGACAAAACATTATGTAAGCTTCTCCAATATGGCATCTACAGAGAATATCTGTACATGGGTCACACAGTAAAATGGATCCTTTCTGCCTTGACTGCCTAGAAGACAATGAGGGGTTTGTCACCTCTCCTTCTCTTCCTATAGATTGTATTTCATGATGGTATTTTACTTCTGCTAGAAATGAATAGGTGCTCAGCAAATGTATACATCCGCCCTATAAAGAGGGGACTGTATGCTGAAAGATCACCAAGGTCAAGGTCACGTCTACTGACAGCTGAAAACAGTTGAACTGACTTTAGCCACCTAAGCAGAAGTCAAAAAGGGGAATCAAGGCATATGTTTCTTTCTAAATCAGAAATGTGAACTCAAGCCAGGTGTTCTCTCACCTTCTCTCTCCTCCCCAGGCATTCCCCAAATTGGTATGCTATCTTGTCTTGCTTCTTACATCCAGAAGCTAGGAAAGATCTTAGGGGATTTAGAGGGAAAGTACTGTTCAAAAGTAGCCAAACAGGTCCTACCAGGGTACAGTTGGCCAAGACTCAGAGGCACTGACCCCTCCAGTCAACCAGTCTATTAGGGTAGACTTACTAGTTTCTCTGAAAGTCAGAGGCATATTTTACTGTCGCAAATGAAGGTGCAGATCAAACTCTTCTGAGACTTCTTCCTTTGGAAATAATTTTCTAGAGCCCTGATACACCCTAAAGGTTTAATCAATAAATAAAAACAGGCATTATTGAATATACTTAACAAAACTTTGTCTATATGGTCAGGATGAGCCAAAAACTATCCTCAGGCCTTCTGGCCTCTAGGGTAGCTTCTGGAATTTCAGACCAGCATTCCTAAATCTGAAACAGGGTTGAGTTTCCAATCCCAGGCCATTCCCCAATCGTTCCTGTTCAGAATGGGAATCGTCTTCTCACAGAGAATCAAGGGTAAACTGCTCCTGAGAAGCCTTCAATCACATAGGATATAGTATACAGGGGCACAACATGGGTTTCAGTTGCCACCATATTGCAGAATGTCCCTAAAGCTTCTTTTCTTCTCATTATGTGAAATAAATTTTCTTTATTGTTTAAAGAAATTCATTTGAAGTTTTTCCCACCAAAATAATCATAACAAATGCAAAGCCTTTTTAATGTTACTTATTGGGCAGTTTTAATTATTTAGCTACATACTTTCTAGCATATTCCAGTAGTAAATTAGAGAGCAGGAAATGAACTTCAGTCATACATTTTCCCAGGAACAGAAAATGACAGCCAATAGCCTGGGAGCAATAAAGATATGCTAAAAGTTAAAATAAAAAATCAGAAATAGGTACTTTAAAAAGGGCTATCTAGTATCAAAGCAGAAAATGCTGCATACTGAAAATCCCACAAAAGCATCATTATATGAAAGAACAGATCAATACTGAAATAATCTGTGTGGATAAATTTTCATTAAAACTGATCATTTTTAAGAGTTGAACGAAATTATCTGTTGGGGGGGGATGAGGAGCTTATTTGAATCACTCATCTTGGATTTTTCTCATTCTTCAGAGCCACTTGAAACTCAGACATCATTTTTGCTCAGAAGCTACTTGATGAAAAGTGATCAGCTCTCAATGGCAGCCCTTCAGATCCAAATGTATCTGGAACATTAGTCTTCTAATGGTTGTAAGTCCATGTCCAAGCTAAAATCTAGTTCTTGTAAGACCAAGAGTTTATCCTGCCATCTCTAAGCTCAACTATATCTGGTGAGGAAATAAATACCAATGAAAACAAAGATAGCATAGGTGGAAACTGTCCCACCTTCAGGGGTACAACTAAAAGTAAAGTCTAATAATGTCAAAAACTTTTCAAGGGTCTGGGAAAGGAGATTCATACCTGCTGCTGGCATGACTACCAATTAATATGGTCATTTTGGTGAGTCCCACTGGTGGCTCAGTGGGTTAATGCATCGCACCAAGAAGCTAAAGCCATGTCAGCAAGAGTTTGATCTCCACCCTGGAGATGATCCACATGGCATGGTAGACCTCTCCTAACCTGCCCGCTGCTCCCCTCAGCAGTGTACTTTATCAGTTGGCCTGTTCTGCTCCCCACTCTGTCTCTGGTGAGTCCTCTCACCACCCCTGCACCTATGGCCTGTACCCCAGTTCTGTATGCATAAATAAATAAATCTTTTAAATAATTAAAATGTACACAGTTCTGACATAGCATATATAGCACTCTAAGTCTACCCAGAGGAATTCCTTTTGAGATGAAGCAAACATGTGAAGGATATTCATTAAGCCCTATTTGGAATGTAACCTAACTGCTCATCAATAGGGAAATGACTCAACTGCGATATATCCATGTTATGGAATATTATGACTCCCCAAATGCATGTGCTGAACACTAATCCCCTGTCCTTCACAATGTGACCACATTGGACACAAGGTCTTTGAACAGTAATTAAGGTAATATTATGTGATAAGAGAAGGTCCTTTTCCACTATAACTGTCTTATGGAAGAGGAGGACATAAAAGAGGAGATTAGGATACAGACATATACAGAGGGAAGACCATGTGAAGATACAGGGAGAGAATAGCCATCTTCAAGTCAAAAGAGGCCTCATAAGAGACCAGTCTTGCCAGGACCTTGATCTCAGTCTTCTAGAACCAGAACTATAGAAAACAAATTTCTATTGCTTATGACATCCAGTCTGAAGTACATTGCTATAGCAGACGTAGCAAACTACTACACAGCACTAGGTATTTTTTATGGGTGTGTATAGTTGCATATAACATATGCAAAACAGAATGAAAGGGTCCCCCAAGTCCAGTTATAGTTGGTTACCTTTGAAAAGGGAATGGGATATGGAATATCCATCTGGGAAATAATGGATGAAGGAATTTCAGGTTTAAAATAAAGGCTTTAATTTTTACAATGAGAAAACACTCACAGATTGTTTTGTATGTCAGGTTTTAAAAGCCCTCTCCCATAGCCTACACAGAATACAGTATGTAACATCCTCCAACCTTCCTTGCTACAGTAAAACATCTCATATCTCTAATGTCTCTGTATATATCTGTCCCCTCTGCCTACAGCATCTTTTGCCTTTTCTTAAGCCTTAGTTGCTGATTCTCATCCTCCGGAGCCCACCGCGAATGTCACCCACTTCACAAATAGCCTTACTTGGCAGGTTTTCCCAAGGCACATTTCTCTGTTCTTTTGATGTCTTACTCACATTTGTACTCCCAGTGCCTAGTCAGTGCCTGTAGCCAAGTAAATACTCAGTAAATAGTTCCAAAGACAGATGGTTGGAATGTTTTCTAGCACATTGTTTTTCCATCTTGTATACCCCAAAGGCCCACATTTATTCTGTCTGTATTAACAGACTCCCAGGAGACAAGGACCACAATCATTGCATGAGTGAGGTCCTAACCTTAACTGCCCCTTAGATACAAAAGGAACAACTGTGCTTTGGGCCAGCCAAGCCCCATTTACTTTTGATTTTGATGAAATCAGCTGAGAATGTATTGCAATTTATTTTAGTAGAGTCCTGTGCCCCGAAAAATCTTCACTACTTAATCTACAATTGGTCCAAATCAAAAAAGTCTCTTGACCTCTGACAGAAGCTCTGACAACCCAACCTTACCTCTTCATCAGCTTAGGCGAGCATTCTCTTTCCAGATTGGAGGACGTGTGTTTCACATGCATCGCATTATAGGAAGTGTGCGTATAGTCATTTTCATCACTGTAGTCAGGACCCAGCAATGTCCGGGCCCATGTTCCCATGTCATAGGGAGGAAGGGTGCCTCCAAATTCAGAGGGCAAAAATTCAGGGTGGATTAGCTGGTGAAGGCTGTTTAAATTGTTTCCATGCAGGAAAATCTAAAAGAACAACATAGTAATTAAAAACTTTGAAATAGGCGGCCAACTATTTAATCTAATACACCATTGAGTAGTGACAAATTGGAAGGGTTGCTGGTGAACATGGTGCTTAGAGAGGGATTAGATTTTGAGTCTGTGGCTAAGTTTCCATAAAATGTTAATGTATTACTTGGGAAAAGGGATTGAATTCATAGTCCTTAAAAATGAAGTGTATGAACAAATTGCTTATTATTTGGCCATGATTCAAATCTGCACATACAGCCGTCTTCTAATTATCCCTGTTGATGAAAAGAGTAGGATGCAGACCTTTCAAACCCCTGTCAGGCTTCCCTTGCAGCTCCAGTTCACTCTGTTCTCCCCACCTTTCCCTTGCCTTAGTTCTCCCCATCTTTCCAGATCTAAGCAAGGGGCAGCTTCTTCCTCCATCTACCCTAAGGATGTCCCCTCACTCTGGTTCTCCTCCCTCACCCCACTGGCTCTACTATTGCTGACCAAGATTTTTTCCTGATTTGTTCATTTATACTTTGTCTCCTGATTGGAAAGGAAGAGCACTAAGAAAAGGGGATGATGCTTCCTTATTCTTTGAATAGGCTCCTAACTCCCAAAGTGCAGTGAACACAGGCAAAGCACCATCAACTCTTTGTCGATAGAACTGAAGGCTGAGGCTTGAGAACTACTTATTATGGGACATTTTTTGCAGCCATTTTCCGCTTGTGTCTGGGTGGACGGCTAAAGCCCAAACAAGTCTGTGTCTTCTAACCATATAATGATGGTGACGGGAGTTAGTCAGCAGAGCAGAAATCATCCCCAAATGAAAATTATTTTCAGACAGTTCTGTGGATAAATCATAGTTGATAATAACCACTGTTCACTTGGCTGCTGAGTGGACCCTTCAAACTTTACTTCAAATGCATCTGTATAAAGGCATGAGTTACCAGACTTCTTCATGTTGCAAGCTCAATGCACATAAATTATATTGCAGTACAGGATCTTTGATTATACAAACACAAGTGTGCATACATGCCACAGTTAAACATGACAAAATGTAGATGTGATTTTTAAAATACATATAATATAATATACCATGTAGGTATTATATTAGGCTATATATTATGTACCATATTATAACATACTATATAACATATACTTACAATCTTGTTCTATAGTATTGGTTTTATCATATGATGTACTAGCACCATTTAAAGATAAAGGGGATAAGATGCTAAGAATTATAATTCTTCAGATGACTCTAGCACTTCATATTTTCAGATATTGGATTGGATCTGGCCCAATTTGATTAAGAATCATTTCCTTGAAGAAAGTCCTGTAGTCCTGGCAAAATGCTTCCCAGTAGAAGTTGACATTTGAAATATGGAAACGCTGATGCTAAATACTGGCCTGATACTTAGAGCAAACACCTGTACCCATCCATCCAACACCTTCAGCTGTTAAAACAGAAGAGGTGCTATTGAAAGTGGCCTTTTCTCCTGGAGGTTCTGTGGAATAGAGGTGCTCAGCAGGTCATAGCTGGACTATCCACCTGTGATTCTGCTCTGTGCCCAGACCCCACTAGCTCCCGTCTGTGGCATTCCATGGCAGTAAGCACTGGTTGATTTGTGGGTGGACTTCCCACTGGTTCCTTCCTGAGCAGAAGCTAAAGCCAGTGGGAGGCTTAGAGTCATACAGCATAGTGTCTCTATCTCTAAGACTGCCCTGAGCCCTGGGGAGACTGTAAAATGTCTCAGACAGTCTCTGTCTCTTCACATTGGTGAGTTCTTATTCCTAGAGCGACACTTGCTGGGATGGGGAAAATTGCTCCTTCCACAATCCTACCACAATGTTCCCATGTTCCCTAAGGATTGGAAACATCTGAGAGAATTAAGAACTCTGTAGGGCATGAATGTAGGAGAGTCCACTCACATTGTCATTTTTCTGAATGCTGAGAGCACTTCCCTCAATTTGCTCCCCTAAATATAGGAACATATTAAGATATTGTAAGAATGCCACCTTGAGAAGTACCGTTCCCTGAGGACCCAGGAGGTCACTGAAATCATGAAGCTAGAAAGGGAAGTCACATGGTAAAAGAATAAAGTCACCGAGTTTCTACGAGGTGGCACTAGGCCTGCTTTCTTACATTGTCTCAACAAATTACCCCCAAAACTGTGAGCTGGCTTTTAGTGTCTCCATTTTATAAATGAAGAAACAGAAACAGACTGGGTAAAGAATCTTGGGTTTCTCAACTAATCAGAATGCCACAGAAAAGTCCAGCTCTGATGGAAGATGCTGGCTTCTTCATCAGCGGACACAACCAAGAATTTAAAAGCTCTCTTTTAAAGAGCACTATTATTGCCAATGAACAATGTTTTTCCAGCCTGGAAGGTGATGGAGCTAGTAGCTGTGACCCAAAAGCCATGGGTGGAAACTTACAACAAACATTCTTCATCATCGTAATACATTAAAGGACGGGATGCTAGCTGTTAAAATAATCCATCAACAGGATGGATTATTGAACTCATTTACAGTAAAATAGGCATCTGGCATTTGCATGTCTTCAAAGCTCCCTTTGGTTTGTCACTGGGACTCTGAAAATAACCCCGTTCTACTAAATTATTGATTAAGTTCAGGCATTTGCAAGCTCCAGCTGAGACTCAAAGGTGACTGCAGTAAAGCAGAAAACCAGAGTGAAAAGAAGAGAGAAAAAAGGGAGAGTGAGAGAAGGGGGCGGGGGTGGGGGCAAGGAATAGTTTGTCTTCATTACCCGCTTCCTGGTCTTGTCTTTAAGGAATGGCTTGATGAGCGTGTACAGGGCGTGGATGTACCAGGGCTGGTTCACGAAATGGACTCCTCCAAAGCGTGCAGGAAAGCTGTCCTGGGTAGAAAGAGAAAAACATACACACATGAGCAACATTCCACAGCTTAGATTGGACCAGCAGCATCACAACCTCAGCACAGTTTTCTTCTCTGACGGTGCTATCTAAAGACAGGGAAAGAAGGATAAGATACTTACTTTCTAGTTTTTAAGGTTTTCTCTATTCTCCTTGCCTCCTGCCTTCCCCATTGACTCCCAAACTTAAAAATTATGCATGGGTGATGAGCCTGTTCTAAATCACAATTAAATGACTGCCTACTTGTCTCAGAAGTGCACTCAAGTTGGCTGGCAGTGAGGGAATTCTTGGTTGCCTGAGGGACCAAGACTTAGGTTCCCACAAGCAGTATATCCCAGAACCAATTCCTTATTTCACGCTGAGACCCACACAATAGGTTCTTAGGAAAAGATTTCTGTTGCCTGACAGACTAGTTGAGTACCATAATGGAGAGAATACAGGTCTCCTTTTCTGAAAATCAACATATTTTGTAAATATCAGAATATAAGAGCACTTTAAAAATGCTTCCTATTTTAGAATTCAGATCTGGGCACAAGCTTATGTTTCGGAAGTTTAAGACTCTTGCTAATTAGATGCACAGAATAAGGAACCTTGATGATAGACTGAGCAGCTCCAAGTCCCAAATTGCTGTTGAGAGCTGCCACAGATTGTATTGTGCTCTTCTTCCTTGAAGGAGTTACAAAAGTAGGAACATCTAACACAATCAGGTTGCCAAGTGTGCTTGTGCTTGGCAACCAATTTCATTGCAACAAACATCTATGTAAAATGGTAGCAAAGTAAGATGAAAGCAGAAGGAGCTTAGCTTTTGAGGTAACAGCTCTGGCACTTGCGCTCCCTCCGTGAGTGAAATGCCTTGCCTGGGCCTTTTTTTTGGGGGTGGGGGTAGTGAAAACAATGTTATTGATTATTTTCTTAATCCTCTGATTCTGTTTTCCTAATTCCTCTGAGCACCTGCATACCAAGACCCATTTTCTAATGTAAATACATGTAACTGTGCCTCAGGGTTGATATTTGAAAAACTTAAAATTAATTTTTGCTTCTACCTGGACATTTTACAGAGTACAAAAGAATTAAATATTTTGTGAACTAGACATTTTCAGTAAAAGGTCTTTTTTTTCTTTTTTGCAGGGGTTTGTTTATACTGTTTTTGTTTATCTTATTTTTTTAAGTTTTATTTATTATGCATACAAAAAGCAGGCAGAGGTGTGGAGGGGGGTATGAGAGGATTCACCAGAGACAGAGTGGGGAGAAGAACATGTAGACTGACATAAATGCATGCTGAGGGGAGCAGCAGACAAGACAGGAGAGGGTTGCTGTGCCATGAGAGTTAGCTCCCTCGCCAGTCTGGGATGGAACTCATGCTGCGAATAGCTTCATAGTTCTGAGACTTGACCCCTCACACCACCAGGGCAGCCCCTGTTGATCTTATTTTTCAAAAACTAAATGAAATCACCAGGTAATGGGGAAGAGACAGTTTGTTAATTTATGCTCCTGATGCTCTTGTTATAATCTTTCACTATTCTGAATATGATTTTAGAAACGTAACGTTTGTTAATAAGTTTGTCTTTTTATGTGTAGTTCTTCAAAATTATTTGTTTCCCCCCAAAAAAAGACCATTCCTGAAAATTTTTACAGTAAATGCTAAGCACTAGCTTAGCACTTTTGATAACTTTGAGCTTCTTATAGAGAAGCATAATTCATAATTTCACTCACTAAAGATGAGCACTCAGGCCTGAAGAAGAACAAGAGTAAAGAATTTATTTATAAACCAGGGCTTTACTATCTCCTTAAAACAGACCAAGAGGGTTTTGTTCTTCTGAGAGTCTATTGTGCTCTACTATTTCAGGTCATTGAAATGGGAAAAAATTCTGTGAATGAAACTCCAGAGGAAATAGGCAGAAATCTCAAAGGAATAATTATCGTTTATAACCAGCCAAAGACACTTAGCATTAGTATTTGGAATCTCACTCATCAAAGACATCCAAACTATTTTCTATTTGTGTCAGTGGAGATTGAAAGTAAAACAAATCAGGGTGATTCCCCGGTCAGTTCCTCGAGGTTGGCTCTGCCTTCCAGTCTGCAGCTCAAGGTAGGGAGGGCACTCTGCAACTATGGACACACACACCCACACACACACTCATGAAACATTGCGCTTTTATTCTGGCTTTGAATCAGAAAAGAAAAAGGATCATCTTTCTTCACATTTCCTTCTATAATTTAAATGGAATTATTTAAATGGAAGATCCTCCTGTGTAATAAAGATTATATAACAATATTTGGCTATTCTTGAATAAACATAACTGAGTTATTAATAATGATGTGTGCATATTTGCTCAAAGGAAAAGCAAAATTAACAAATACATTTTATGAGCAATGTCCATAGTTATTGGACATGTTTCTTGGTTTTGTTAACAAACTGTAATTTAATAGGCAAGTTATCTGTCACAAATGTCTCTAGAACCCCAAAAGGGCCCACCACCTTCATGGAGAAGTAGAGGTAGCTCAATATAGCAGGTTAGTTACACTTGACTCAATGCTTAATGCTAGTGTTAACAGAGACTTTTTAGTGAATAAAGAGAATGTTAAAAAGCTATTAATTTTTGTACATTTTATGCATTTATCAGTAAAAATATAACATTTCAACTTAAAAACACACTCAAAACAAAAAAAAAATTGTCTTTCACCCAGTTTAATTTCATTTCCTTATACAAAAAAGCCTATTCTAGAAAAGCAAAAAAAAAAGATTAAAAATATTTGAAAAATTAGAACACAGAAAAAGACAAGAAAGAAGAAAAATCAACTGTCATTCCAGCATCATGAAAAATTTGCTGTTTTTAAAATAGTTTATTTAACATTTAAAATGATAAAGATGTGTTTCACATACATACGAAATACCCTTGTTGAGTTGGCAGGAGCCATTTTGGATCTGCTCTCTTAGGGATGTGGCCTCTCCCATCTGGAACAGGCTGCTTGCCATTACTGAGGGAAACTACAAGGGGAATTGCCTCAGCTCTTGACATTGGCTGTTGGAAGGTGACATGCTTCATCTGTCACATTTTACTGGCCAAACACATGCCTGGTTTTCAGGGCATCAGGAAGTGCAAGGACCCAAAGTATGGGCCAATGACAATGATTACCCACACTCTGCTCTTCTTTTCCCTCCCTTCATTTTCTTCCTTCTAAATGGGCTCTTCTTATAAACTGAATTCCAAATTCATTTTGACCTGCTTGATGCTAGGTAATACAATATTAAATAGTACAGATATAGAATGTATAGAATAAATAACACATGCATATAGATGCATACATCTAGATTGGCATATATGTAAATATGTATACATGAAGGAGCATCAAAATATATGCAGAAGCTATTAACAAACCTAAAAAATCACTGACAGCAGCGTAATAGTAATAACACATCTTCACACCTCACTTCTATCAATGGACAGATTAACCAGGCAGGAAAGCAACAAGGAAACAACTGTCTTCAATGAGAAATTAGTTCATGTGTGAACAATCAACATGTAGGTTATTTCAGCCCTAAAACCTGAGGGGTTCTGCTCAGGTGCACATGAAACTTTCTCCAGGATATACTGAACTGGAGTACAGGCTAAAGGTATAGGGTTGGTGAGAGGATTCACCAGAGACAGGGTGGGAGCAGAACAGGCTGACTGATGAAGTACACTGCTGAGGGGAGCAGTGGGCGGGTTGGGAGAGGTCTGCCACACCATGTGGATCACCCCTGGGGCAGAGGATCAATCTCGTGCTGAAGTGACTTTAGCTTCTTAGTGCTGTGCTTTAACCCACTGCACCACCAAGGAGGGACCTAGATCACATATTGTATCACAAAATAATTGCTAATAAATTAAGAAAATTGAAAACATACAAATATCATCTCTGATATTTGAGTATCAAGAGTATCAAGTAGATTAGAGTATCTAGTATAAAGCTGGAAATTACGCACAGAAAGAAAGTGGGAAGAACTTCTAATGTGTGGAGACAGAATATCACACTAACGTGGGTATTGTATTCAAGAAATCAAAAGAGGCATTAAAAAGTACCTAGAGAGGCCCTCCCTGGTGGTGCAGCAGGTTAAAGCACAGCACTAAGAAGCTAAAGCCACTTCAGAATGAGTTCGATCCCGGCCTAGAGGTGATCCACATGGTATGGCACACTTCTCCTGACTCGCCCGCTGCTCCCCTCAGCAGTGTACTTTGTTGATCTGTCTGTTCTGCTCCCCTCTCTGTCTCTGGTGAATCCTCTCACCCTCCACATCTCTGGCCTGTACCCCAGTTCTATATGAATAAATAAATCTTTTTTTTTTTTTTTTTTAAAAGGACACAACAATAAGACCATATGGGACCTGGCATAAGCTGTATTGAGAGACAAGAAAATAGCAATTCAGGGCTTTTCCAAGAAATGAGAAAGATCTAATATGAATAAGTAGGTTCATACCTTAATAAAAAAAAGAACAAAAGAAACCAAAGCCAGAAGAAGGAAGGAAATATTAAGAATTCGAGCAGAAATAAACAAAAATCAAAAGGATAATAGAAAAGTTGGGTGAAGCCAAAAGGAATTTCTTTGAAATGACCAACAAAATAGACAAAGTGACTAGTTAGGCTCATTCAGAGAAAACTTGCACAAGTAGATAAAAAATAAAAGAGAAGTTATAACAGATGTCAGAGAATTACAGAAGATCATGAGACTTCTTATGGAAACAAATTGGAAAATTTATAGAATCATAGGACCTCTTATGATTGAATCAGAAAGAAATAGAAAAATTTGAACAAGCCAATTAAAAACTAGGTAATTGAAACACTACAATAGCTTCCCAGGCAATAAAAGCTCAGGACTGGGTGATTTTACTAATGAATTCTACTAAGACTTTAAAATCAAAGTATTATCTATAGTTTTCAAATTTTTCCCAAATATTAAGGAAGAGGAAATTCTTCCAAATACTTTTTATGAGGCCTAACGTAGACAT